GATTTTCTTTTTTATTTCTCTGAAATTATACTCAGTGGAGGGTTGGCAGGGCTATAGTAGATTTTTTTCCAGAAGTTTCAGAACTGTTGGTCTGATTTAATTTTATATATAAAATTAAGGATTTCATTAATGGCTCTTTCCTTTCAAACCATCTGCCCTCCATCCATACATCTATATTTAAAAGCAGCGTAGAAGCCAAGTCTGAAGCATTCAGTAATATCTCTGTCTACACAGAGATGTAAACAGAGAAATTATTTGCCACAGGCATATCTGCAGAGGTACATATAACTTCAGTCAATTTAATTGCGTTCCAAATCTTTTCCTTAAAAAATAAAAATAAAAATGGTAACAAGCCATCCAGTGGCTCGCAATAATCTATATATTAATGAAAAAAAAAATGCAGCCATGTCAAAGTATCATAACATTCTACATGATTGGCTTTGAGATGAATTCTTTTTCTTTTCGTGGTGATTTTGCTTTGATTCATTCAGTCTGCAAAAGGAGCTTCAAGTCTTACTAGGTAAGCACTAGAATTCATCGGGTTCGAGTAAGTTGTGTTTGAAATGAAACGGATACTTGTGTTTGCAATTTCCAGATACAGTTGACCTTGCTGAATCAGATCAAGGTCCGTTGAGTCAAGCATTCTCTTTTTAATAGTGTCCAGCCAGGTGCAAGATGGAAATGGCCTTCCAATGTGATATCATTAGCATTTCAGAAGTATATGACCTTTGTCCATAGAGGCTCTATAATTAGCTGACATGGCTATTCGCCATCAATAGACCCTATTTCCCTATAAATTTATCTAATCTAAACTGAAATAGCTGTTGCCACATCTTGTGGCAGCAAGTTCCATAAGTTAATGATATATTGTATGAAGAAGTACATATGAGCTATAATTCCCCAAGGAGCATAGGCAGATTTCATTAACTCTTCTGTTGCATCTTGCTTGCATAGAAGTCTCTGCAGGTTTGACAACAGCGCTGGTACCATCTCATGTCCTGACAAAGGTTTTTCTCCCGAATCACTCGACAATAAACTGCCCACTGGTCTCCCATGCATTTGTATGTCAGAGCAGCTTTTAAAAAAAGGAAGAGAGAACATTGGAACAAGAAATTATGCCATCGTTTTCCTTTAGGAAGAGCTGGGATCACCAAAATTCCAGGGAAACTGCATAGTATTTTTTTGGATTGTCTATGCATCCAGCTATCATCTGCTATCTGTCTGCCTGCCTGCCAGTCTGTCCTTCCTTTCTTCATCTGTCCATCCTCTATTGTCTGTCTGTCTGTCTGTCTGTCTGTCCATCCATCCATCCATCCATCCATCCATCCATCCATCCATCCCTTTTCTATCTAGTCTGAAATGATCTGTTCCATGACCTGGCCAATTCCAGATCTGTTCTGAATCAGAATTTCCACACCTCACAGAATGTGTTCCAGTTTGAAATTCTGGGAATTGGATTCTTTTGGCATCTTTTGGAGCTAATAGCAGATTTATAGGTATTGTAGTGGTTTGTACTAGGACTGCAGTGAGATGAAAGGATTGTCTCTGGACTGGATTTGTTCTTTATTGGTATTAATTTGGGTCAACATTCTGATTTCAGTTGGTGGTGGGAGAGGGTGTTTTTCTCTCTTTCCCCAAACAATTTTTCTGGTGGAAGTCTTTCCTTGGTGAGAAAAGAAAGAAAAAGCTCATTTACCAAGTCACAACAAATTTGAGACACTGTGGGGGGATACTGCATCTTTACTGAACTAGACATGGGCTTCTAAGTTTGTTTTGAGAGAAGGGGATGACACATCAGACCTCAGAATTCAAGATCCAGGGAAACCATACTGACCAAGTCTTGGAGAGGTAATTGTGTTGACGTTAATTTTCTCGTTGCAGGCTTCTTGGTGACATTGTCGGTAGGCTGCCGGTTTGGAGAGGGCGGGACACTCGTTGCCATGGCGGCCTGTGACTTTATGCATGCACTGGACGACACGGGACTGAAGACCTTTGCCGCACGTTGAGGAGCACTAGACAAGAGATGGAATCATCAAGATTTATGTAAAGCAGAGATATAACAGAGGCAGAGGCCCATTGGATGAGGATATTTTATTCATTAGATTTATATACCGCTTAGGTCTGAACAGCTCTAAGCAGTATACTGTGCATCAGTATGCCAGGAAACTGCATCAAAGGTGAAATACAAATGTTCTTGTTTGTAGGCTCAACCTTCCCTTTTCCTTTACTTGCCAAACTTCACCACATGTATAGATGTTTTTTTAATCATAATTTAAATCTGCTTGGATAACTACCTAGCTGCATGCTGGACCTCTGAACTGTGCATGCGTCTCTCCCTTTGTACGGACCTGGACGTGGATGTCTCTGCATTTGTTAATCTAAAGAATGGTTTCCTTTCCATAGCTTCAGCTTCTTAGCATACCAAGAATCACCAAGTGGGTTTTTCCCCTTCCTTCTTTCCTTGCCTTGAGCCTAGGTTGATTGCTTCTCCTGGGAAACCAAGATCATCACCTAGGCTATGCGATTCGTCTTTTCAATGCCAGGAAGACAGATTTTAATTTTTTTTTTTTTAGCTGCCTAGGTTTGGCAGCTAAAGGGACATCTGGCTTATTTTAGCAAGGAAAAAAATCAGCTCTCCAGGAACAGAAACAACAACAAAAATGTACTGAAAATGGTGCATTTTTGTCCATATGGCATTGCAAGGGTAGTTTGAGAACTTGGGGAAAATGTGGACAATGCTGCATTTGCCATCAGAATATTAAGTTTTTAATTAACTGGGAAGCAAATCTTGATTATTTGAATAGAAGATAATTTTGAAGAATTATTCTAACAACTTACAAATAAAAGCTTGTGTGTACTCCTTGCTCAAAGCTCCATGTACTTATAACTTTTTTGGCTCTTCATTCATATATACCAACCTTCAGGACATCCTTTTATTTCTACTGCTTAAAGGTACTACCAAGTTATAAAGTATTAGCCCAACTATTTCTCTGTTTAGAAAAGGAAGACAATGGAATTAGTTAACATTTAATAGGTATTTAATCATTAGACGCTGTACTGCAAAATTATCACCTTGTATTCTGGCAATTTAACTTCAGAGCTGTTTGCTACTTCCTGTACCACTTCATAAGCTTCAGTTTAAATGGACACTTTTAGCAACACTAATTTGGGACAAGCTGGATAAGATCTAATTAGCTCACAGCACACTTGAAACTATTTTTTTTACATTTTTTCACAGCTAGGGGGAAAAAAAAGAAAAAAAGGGAAGGGAAAAATCCATCACGATTATACCTATTTTTGTTAAAAATTCTTTTATTAGAGTTTTAATATCAAGGGGATGGGATGATTTAGTGAATTCCAATCAAATAGCAAAAAATAAAACCATCCTGAACAAAGGGGTCTGGCTCAACATACAGAAAAGAAATAAATTATATGGGGGAAATTATTTTGAATGATCTAACAGCAGAATGTATCTACCAAGCTTTCCAGTGGCCTCCAAGCTGTACTTAACTCAGGATAATGTTTTATTGTGAACAAGCTGGGGCCAGTATTTGAAATGCATCTCTGGATGAAATTAATAAAAACTCAGCCATTTTCAAAAAGTGACGTTCAAGATTACAAAGGCTATAAATTCATGAGCTGCTTGGAAATATGGGTGTTCCAAAACAAGAAAAGAGGAAGAGGGATTAGAAATCTGTAGACCCAAGGCACAAAATGCTTCCTTTATTTATAGCCGACCTTACTGTATTTTATGTTTTCCCTATGTTAAGAATCAAAATTAATCATTGTAATAACATTGTTTGATATGATCTGAAAGAATGCTAAGAATGCATTTTTTTTTTGAATCTTAAATGACAAAGGATTGAAAATACTTGGTTTTTTAGGAAGGAACTGCCATGTGCAAATTTAGATCCTTCAGACTCAGTGGGTCTTCATTGTAATAATGGAAGACTAATCATTAGACCTCGGATGTTTTCCAGCTGAAGTTAGACATGCTTAAGGACATTTCAGCTGGAGAAGTCATAGCTTATTTCCTTGTTGAAATTAATGGCGCTTAGAAAAACTAAAGCACTCCTGACAGACCCTCCAAAAATTTCAGGAAACGTGCAGCTGAAATACAGGGAGCATCCTTCCTGTAACAGAACAAGAAATGCACAATTATCATGACTAAGAAGCCAGTGATCTTGATTGATTCCATGCATGCTCAGTGATGATGAATGAAATTACTGTAGAAACGAGACTTTAGAAAACGAAGGGCGGTTTCTCACCAATCCCTTAAGGTACTCTGGTAAACTTATTCCCTTCCTTTTTTCTTTGGGGCAAACATAAATCTTGAGAAGAGCTTCAGGAAAGAATACAAACCCAGATGTTCCTGCAGGTGACATCTGTACGTGCAACATCTCTGCCTGGAGTAATACAAAGAGAAGCTATTTCTCCAGAAGGCTGGGCAATTGAACGTTCTAACTTTCAGGGGATAAGATACATATTGGATAGAAAAACACCACAACATGGATGTGATGGAATGGAATTATGAAGGCCAAGCTCAGGGAGACAAACATTTTCTTAGCTAG